AGTGAACAGCTTCATTAGCTAAATTCAACGTACACATTAGTGGGTCATACGATAGTAAAACCCAAGAAGACAGAAACCATTAACACACCAGAAACTCTCAAGAGACCTGAATGGATAATACAAAATATAAGGGTCATGCTGAAGGTGTTTACTTAGCAAGCCCTTATTTTATAAACAATGATATTCAAGATTATGAACATACTGATGCATGAATGAGACTAACTTCTTAAGCATTTCAGTAACACCTATTTACAAGCAGTTGAAAATATATATGAAGGAATGAGTGGACACTGATCATTAATATACAATGAAAATCACCAATGCTTGCTATGAGAGATAAGAGGATGAATTAAGAGTGAATGACAGCTTGAGTATTCAAAACTGGATGAATAAATTATGTGATACATGTACTGAGGAAAGCTTACAAGATGGTCAAGAATAATGATGAAACAGAAAAATATTTTGTAATGTGGGTAAATCTGAAAGATACTGTGCTGAGTAAAAAAAGCTCAAACACAAAAGCTACATATTACATAATACTGCTTTTATAAAAAAAATCAAGAAATGGTATACACACCAAAAGCAACATTCTTTGCTGGGCACCGAGGAGGGGAGGAGGGAGAATCACTTACTAGATGGTTGACACGAGTTAACTCTGGTGGTGTGAAAGGCAACACACAAATTGATGGAAGTTAGTACAACTGACCAAGGGAAATGCAGACAGGACATGGCATGCAAGAAGAAAGGGTGACCATGCAAATGCTGGAACACGTGACTTTGCAGCAAAAGTAATAACAAGGAAAATATAGGTCATATAAGTAGGTAAGTGTGTTAAATGGCCATTAGTGTTTAGGTATGGCTATGGAAAGGCTTATGTGCATGAGTACATGTGCCTGCTTATGTAGGTCTATTTGCTAGCATATGCACATACATACTTATATGTGCTATATATGTTGTACATCTACCCCCTGCACAGCAGCTGGTGGACGCGAACCACATGCCTTCAGGGTTACAGTACAGCTTCTTGCCACTAGGCCACCAGAACTCACTTGTGCACTCACTCTCTCTCTCTCACTCTCTCCCTCCCTCTTCCTCCTCACTCTCTCTCTCTCACTCGCTCCCTCCCTCTTCCTCTCTCTCTCTCTATGGGTGGGTGGGTGTAACGCACACAGGGTAAGGAAACACAGCTATAAGCTTCTCAGTCACAGCCAAACACCTTGTGAGATTATCTTGTTGGACTTAAACTCTGTAGTCTAATGGGACAACTAGGTCAACTGGCGTATCTTAGTTCATGAAGGTAATGTTCTATATCCTAGTTTCCTGAGAGCTTCTGGGTCTTAAAAGCTTGTGAGTAGCCATTTCAGATACAACTATTAGTGCTTTCCCACCTGGAGGAAAGGAAGGTCAAAAAACCCAAACACTCATGAAGATATTAATTGATAGGGTTGGTTCACGTCAACACAGCCTCTTGCCCCAAACAAGAAAAACTAGATGGTGCTAATGAACTACCCTGAATGAGGACACAATTGAAAGCCTTAGTTTGAATGAGAGAAATATATAGAACATGAATTCATTTTTTAAAAACAGATTTACTGGGCTAATAGAGACTAGAGGAACCCAAGAGCATCGTAAAATACCCTTTTAACCTGCAGCTGGAGCCACTCACAGAGATCACCTTTCATCATAAAAGAAGCAGTGACGCCCAGGAGGACGTGCTCCTTCAAACAAACAATTACATGAGGCCAAACAGTCAACATTTACCCAAAAGTAAAAAATGGGAAGTCAAGGAGGGGCAGGCAAGCAGCATGCATGGAGACAAGGCAGAGTGGAATGCCGCATGCTGACCGTAACCACTGTTAAAAACAATGTGTGTTACAACTATTGAGTAGTAATCTAACTTGTTGGGTAAAGGTTCATCTAAAACATTAAGTATCCAGAATTTAAAAATAAAAAATGAATGCATATAATTTTCAAAACTTTTACTGAATTTCACTTAAACCCCAAGTTTCAAGGTTCTCCCGAAATATGCTGAAATAGGTTTATGGTACCTCATTCCTCTGGTGATTTTAAAGTATATCAATTTATTTGACTGTAGGTTAAATCATGTACCCCACGATATATGCTGTAAATCCTACCCCTGTACCTACACTTGAAGGGTCCTGGTGATACAGCAGTTAAGCAACCAGCTGTTAACTGATGTGTAGAAACTGTCTTCTGTAAAGTCTACATCTTAGGGACTCTATAGGTTAGCTCGATCTTGTTCTATGGATGGCTACAGATAAAGAGATGGGACAGCCTTGAGTTGGGTTTGATTTTCTACCTGTGGTTAAACTCCTAGTTGGGTCTTTGCTATGCTAATGTGGCAGTATTTCTGTACAGTGTGTTTTAAATCAATCTCTTGACATATAAAAGAGCAGATTAAGCAAGCAGAGATGCAAGAAGAGAAAAGTCTTGCCACATGAAGATCAACAAGGAGAGACAAAGAGAAGCTAAAAAACAGGCAGGGACCTTCCCCCAGAGCATATGCGCACTCGTATTCACACAGAGAGAGAGAAAGAGAGAGAGAGGGCGAGAGAGACCGTGCACACATAAGCGAGACAGTGAGAGAGAGAAAGAGAGAGAGCCAGAGAGTGAGAGAGAGTGCGAACCCTCCTCTAAAGCCACTACTTCTGAAGTTAAGACTTCTGGTCACCAAAAATGTGAGAAGACAAATTTGTTAAAGCCAGGAAAAAAGAGAGTAGAGGAGTAGGACTATCTTTCCCCAGTAATGCTCTGGTGTTTTGGTGCCTTAGTGCTAAGGAGCTACACTGCCAGCCCAAGAGCACACGGTAACAGCATGGTGTTTCTCTCTCTGTTACCAAGTTTATAGATTGCACAAGAGAAGACTGCCCATCTTTCTCCCATGGAGCCACTGATGGATTCAAATGACCAGAGAGGGGTGGCCTGGGGTTACTGCACCTCCCCTAGGGCCTAAGCCATCAGAGTTCTCTACTGAAAGGTGTGTGTGTGTGTGTGTGTGTGTGTGTGTGTATAACATGAAATTCAGGTTTTGCTTTTGTTTTTTCAGCAGTTGCTTGCCTCCTGAAGGTTCCAATGTGACCCATCTTCTACAGTGCCCAGGCTATTAGGTATCTGTAAGAAGGCAATAACTGCTTCCTGACAGATGATTCCATTGCCGTCGAGGTAAGAAGGGTGAAAATCCATTATAGCGCTCAAAGAAATACAAATTCAAGCAAATAACTCCATAATGCCTCACAGCTGTGGCAGCAGAACCTGTCCACTGAAGAACAGCTGGGATGAAACCTGTGAGCGAAAGGGGCGCGGGACTACCTTGTTTTTCCTGAGTCCCACAGTCTTCTACCTTTGACAGGGTATGAGCTTATCACGTATCTACTATTTTCTATTAGTGCGAAATGGTGAGCTTTCTTTCTATGATAGGCTCCTGCCTCACGCTGGCTCTGTCCTTTTTGTCGGTCGTACTGTATGTGGAAGACATTCAAACACTCCTTTCAATACCTTCTGTGATGTTGGAAAGGAGTAGTGAATGATTCAGGGGAATTCCTTTCCAAATTTAAACACAACAAAAACAAATAAACAACACAAGAAACCTAGTAATAATGTTTTTAAAGAAAAAAAATTCCAATTTTCAAGATTTCCATCTACAGCATATTGGTCTGAAAAAAATACACAAGGCTTCTTGCCTTGGTCAATGGAGCAGACCATCAGAATATCTTGCCCAGCATTTAGGTATCTTAATCTCTTGAGACACAAGCTTTTACGCTTTCATCTCCTCCACTACCCCCAAGCAAACGGGCTCATGACAGGAGTATATGTGCACACATGGATCTGCTCCAAAACTATGCCCAAAAGGGTACATTACTAAAGGCCCTAAATGCTCATGTATAGAACTCCATAAGAAATAGCAATATGCACTGGCCACTTTAAAAATCAGTGCTGTTTCAACAACTAAGTTCGAAAGACACAGTCATCTACCAGTTGTGAGGGGTCTCACTGAACAACTGAGCAGAAGTCAGTGACACTCCCTTTTCTTCCACTTAGTAACTCACCTGCATCATGGTCTCTTTGAATCATTAGAATTCCTATTCATACCCTTGAGTCTGAACAACTAAGAGGCAGCTTAAACCTAGACCAAAGGGTCATCGCTTTATCAGAATAACATCATTGCAAACTATGAAGCTCCCCATCAAATTATCAGGGAAATATATGTCCTTCCAAAGTCCCAGCAATGAAGCTGACTCAGAAAGGAGAATAAGACGCTACCCTGCTCCTTTAAAATCAGCAGGGTCTTCAGGTCCACGTCTTAGATCTATTTGCACAAGCTGGTAATAAGTAGAAGCTAACCAAAGGAACTTTCCCCTTTGATATAAAGCTGGGCAGGTGAGCTTAGCCTAGGAAAATCTGATCTGGCCTGCCAAGAATGGTGTCTCAGGTGAAGCAGCCGATTACAAACAATCGAGCATTGTTTTATATAACAATGCTTTCTATCTATATCCAGCAACAATCTGCAAAGTTAATCTCAGCATCCCTCTACATGCTGCATGGTGGTGTGGATATCCTGTACATCTCCAAACACCCCCCAACAAAATGTTAGTAAAATGAAAAAGCACTTATCTACAGGAAACTTATGTGGGTTATCATAACAACACGGAGAACATTTAATTAATCAGACTTCCTTTGATAAAAATGGCCATCTATAGTCACAGAGAAAACATTGAGTTAGATGAATGCCAATCACGCAGCATTCAGAACAATGCCCCCCGCCCCCAAATTACGTACAACAGAAAGCTGGTATGATTAGAACGCAAATATTTTAGAAGATCATATCCAAAGTACTTCTTTATTATTTCATCAAAGTGTCTGTCACTTGAAAATTCTCCTAATATTTAGTCATTCTTCATACTCTGTGCTTTTTCAGGTTCAAGGTATACAAAATTCTCAATCATTCTGTGTCATTAAGTCATAAGAAATAATTTACTTACTTCTGGAGACTCTCACAAGCTCTGATACATTGAAGACTCCAGATTTTACAAAACTGTCTTCCAGATATCCTGAAAATAAACATCAAGGAGGGAAAAGGTCAGCGTAAGAAGGAATAAAAATAAACGATTAAGCACTATGCTTGGTCAAATGTGCTCAAACCAAAGGTTAGAACAAAAAACCAATACACGTATAAAAGGAACCTGAGACTCTCAGATGCAAACTGGGTGTGTTCAAACAAAAGCAAAAAGTTTAGATGGTAAACAATCTCCTAGGGAATTTTTCCCTTCATTTTCCTGGAGGTATAGGGCAATTTGTGCGGTTTTGTTTGTCATGTCATCTGTGCCCAGAACGAAGGTCTCGGACTCTCACTAAACACAGTCAACTCAGCAGCAGCTGGTAGATTAAAGTCCACCCATTAAAAAAAGGAAAACCACAACCACAATTAACACCTTGTTGGAAATACTTCAAAGATTTCTCGAAACCACTGCTCTTTCACAAATCCTCCCTGATTAAAGAAAAGTAAGCTGCTGTTACCAGCAAAGCCACCCTGATTGAGGGTCAGGCATCACAGTAGCAGCACTTGGACATGCAGCATCTATTCCACACCAGCCAACTTCTGTGTCTTGAGCATATTCTACGGCTCCCTCAGCTTAACTCCTCTGGGCTGTTCAAGAACTTGGACGTATTTTTCTGGAATGTGGTCATGCATCCAAGTTTCAGTGAGTACTCTTGGGCCTGATGTGACAGACGTCTTAGACACAGGGTCCACAGGAGCTGAGGCTCCCACTTCCAGAGGCTGAGGACATTCAGACCCATCTGGTAACTAGCTGGTCTAGAAACATCCAGAAGTTGAGGATTCCCTGAAACACTCTCAGGGTACCCCAGCATACAAATTGGGGTTGAGGAGGGAGACTCCTTAAGAAACGGGGCTCAGGGTAAATGCCTGCCTTTCCGAGAGAGAATGGAAACAGTATGGCAATTCTTAGAACTGAAACATTCCAGGAAGCAAACTCAGAAGTCACAAAATAATAACTCCATCAGATTTTCCACAAAGCTTTGGGCTGACCAAGGAGTTAGTCAGAACATGGATCGATGAATATCAGAGAACATTCAGATCAGAGCTGGACTTGAATTCCATCACCACCGTTGGCTGTGGAATCTTGGCCATATTCTTAGGTTTCTTTGGTTTAAGATTTCTCATGAATAAAGTAAAAAAAATCTTAAAAAACCTTATCTCCCCCATAACATTGGTATAAATTTTGAGAGGAAAATACAAAATTCATAGTATGCACTCATTAGGTATTTCCAGTAAATAAGATTGCTCCGCGGAGCCAAATGAGCAGAGCACACTTCACTCTAGACCATTCCAAATGGTTTGTAGATATTTTTTAATTTAGAAAGTTTACCAGAGCAAAAGTCACTGCATTGCTTAACTAGACAAAGCATGAAAAGACAGAAAGCCAACTGGTGTATCTGCTTCCATTCTGGGAACTGAGGGATCATGTATATCTATATGCTTTTCCACCTTCCCACCCTCTGCAGAGCCTTCGGGGCCATTTTCTCATAGGACAGCTATGCTGGCTCAAGCTCCTGAAAGATAACCATGGACCCATGTCATTCCCAGGAACTCACTGTGGAAGCAAGTAAGCTTTGAGGGAGATGGGAAGGAGTAAAGACTGGAATCAGGTTCAATCCTTGATGCTGTTACATAGGAAGACTTAGTCTTCGATACTCAGTACAAAATACCTACCAAGGAATTAGAAATGGTGCGTGCTTTCAGGGTCAGAGCCCACAAATAATTTGTAAAAGGAATGCATGAATGAGAACATGACCACAGCTAATGTGTGTGTGTGTGTGTGTGTGTGTGTGTGTGTGTGTGTGTATCTATATATCTCACAACAGTTCAATTTCTAGGTAGAATCTGAAGAGTGCTTCCTCATTTAGTACAGTCTTTCTACTTTTCCACGAACAGCTGGGATTTTTCAGGAGTCTGATCAGAAAATATCAAGGAGTCGCCTCAAAGTCCACTTGACCAGCAGGAAAGCAGCAAGGCAGTTGAAGGCAGACTATAAAGACTACTTCCCAGAAAAGAAAAGGTCATTCCAAACGCTACAAAGTATATCCCCACTCTCCATCTAACTGCCCAAGTTCTGTGGAAAAGGACCCCACAGGCAAAGCGAAAAGGGGGCTTTCATGAAAAGCCTGGCAGTCACTGGCCACATGTGGGAGCTGCCTGAGAGGCTGCTGGAGATGACGCCACCACACCTCCCACCCCGCTCCCCTTCCTCACTGCGCGTGATGATACTTTACATGAGAAGTGGGCTTCCAAGGCCCATGGCTCTATGAGAAGGGGGCTGGTACCATCAAGAAATGGAGCTGCCTAGAGCAGGATCTGCAGCAGACAGCTGCCACCTTCCTGCATGAAAGATTCCTGTAGGCAGGATTCACCCAGGACAAGGCGGAGTAAGAAAAGCAAATGGTGGATGACACTACAAAACACTGCAACTAATTGTCACTGAGTCTGAACCTTTCTTTGGGCTTCTCAGGCTGTAATCACAGGGAAGGAGGCTGTTCAACTTTCAGCTGCTTCTCTAGAGCAGCTGGAGGATTCACACCCCCTGAGGCTCAGTTAGCAGCTCTGCTTCCTCCAGATCAGGCCACTGGAGATAGTCGAAGAGAATCCCCACAGGGTAGCTAGTAGCTATGCAGACTCTCTTGTAGGTCAAGAAACCTGTGCTAGTGTATAGGGTGAGCTGCAATCAAATCCAAGTTACTGCTGTTAGCAAAACCCTATCTGTAATTCCTAAGCCGCTGGGACTCTTTGGGACCTCAGTTTTCACATGTTACGGATGCCACTGTAAAGCTAAATAGTTTACATGAAGCCCACAGATCTTCAAGCAATTTGGAGACATTCATCTCCTGCCTTGCCTTCATCCAGCAAAGTAAATACGAGCATCTCAGAGGCAGAGCAGCTGCTTAATGGTTACACAGCGATATTATACAACGGCTTCAACCAGGGGAAAAAAGAACAACTCGGCATTTATGCGAGGCTGTATTTACACTACATGTATGCTTTCTTAAAAAATAAAATTGAGTGGGAAATAAAGGCCTCTGCAAACGAAAAATTCTCAAAGGCAATTTAAAATTACATAATTTTACTCCTTTTTAAAAATTTTTCCTCTAACAAAAGCAACAGTAAATCACTACTCAGAAGTTAATACAGTGTTTAACCTCCCCTACAAACAATAACAGAGGGACACAATGGCATATCTAACTGTTAATATCGCAAATTATAATCAGCACCATTTGAATGTTAAACAACATTTACATAGCAAATCCAAAGGAAGACTGATAACACTCATTTTTTAAAGTCTACTGTGTTCCAGTCTGGAAATTAAAAAAAATAAAATAAAATAAAAGCCACAGAAAGCAGTTATTAAATTCATGAGCGCTGTCTTCAAGTATTTGAAGGGCTGTTCGCATAGATGGTGGAGTCAGCTAATTTTGTATCATTCCAAGAGCTGATTTTTGGCTCAATACACACATTTGTTATCTAATGAGAGAAGATCTTAAAAGGTACTAATAACCAAGATGTGCTAGGCAGTGTGCTTGTGCTTCACAAGCGTTCATTAATTCCATGCTCACAATCACACTGTAATCTCTGAAGTATTGTTGCTGTTTTAAAGATGTGGACAGTGGTGTCTACAGAGACAAGGAGTGTCCCAATGGCTACCAATACTTGCATGAAATCTACAAACTATTTTGGTAATTACTAGACAAGTGGGCCTCTGATGCCCATTTCCACCCTCAGACACTGCTTTATACAGGGTTGTGTTTCTCTGTTGGTTTGTATGCACTGCCCATTTGGGAGAACAAAAAGCAGAGGTAGACACTAAGTCTAACGTCACAAGTGTTTGTCAGTACTTTAATTCCAATTACTTACTTCTCTCCACTGTGTGTATAACGTGACCCCAGCTCTTTTTGAAAAATAGTAATTCAGTTGAAAAGACTCTTCTCTCATGTAGGAAACCTGAGTTCTACTTCCAGTCAATGACCTTCACGGCGTGCCACCAAGACACCGGTCATTGAGGCTCATGTGTTGCTATGATTCTGAGCAGGTTTTAGCAGAGCTTCCAGACTAAAACAGACTAAAGCAAAAGGGCCCAGATCTGGGCTGAAAATCATGTCACGACCTATGAGTCCCCAAGGCTGTCATGATGCCAAAGCCAATTCAACGGCTGCTGTCCCAACAACCACCCTTTTGTGGAAAGAAAGATAAGATTAGCTCACACTGCCTCTTTGCCAATCCTCACATAACAGATACCGCAAATGACTCACTGGTGATTTTCTAGTAGTGATATTATGCAATGTAGTTCTAGCTACAGATTTTCAACTGGAACCTGTGATTAGAAAACAAAAAGATTAATCATTAAAAATAGAATGATTCTCTGAATAGCGACTGAACCACAGTCTATAGCCGAGGCTAAATTTCTAATTTTGCTTCAGAATTAAGTTTATTCAATTTAATGTAAAACCATGATAGTAATTTAAGTGACTTTCAAGGGAGACAAAAACGTCCTGATTTTAATAAGCTAATATGTTGTTTTATTAAATTTATATACAGTTTTCTTTCCAGCTTTAGGTTTTTAATGTGTGTAAATGTGTACAGCAATGATAAAATTGAAATAGATTTATGCGTACCTTTTTTCCCAGTTCACACTATCTCTCCTTTTAGATGAAGCAGATTAGATTGAAAGCATGGCTTTAGGAACTGATAAAGTTACATTGTATGGCTGTGCCATGCTTTAGTTAACCATTCTCCTATTGTTTGGCAATTTAGGTTATTTCCTATTTTTTTAAAAAAAATTAGAAACAGCACTGCTATTGACATCTTCACACACAATCTTTGTCAGCAATTCTCTTCATTTCCTTAGGCTGGAGTTCCCAGAAGCTAAATTAGTGGGTCAAAGGACATAAACTCACTTCAAGCTCTCGGTACCTATTGTCAATTGCTTTCCATATAGAGTCTTGGCAATTTATACCTTATCAAGCAGGTGATGAATAGGTC